TTTTATTTTATTTTAATTTTTAATGTGTTTTTTTTAAAAGAACCTTTCTCCCTCGCGAAATACCTCAGTCCACAAACCCTAACCATTCTCTCTGCCTCTCGACATTCACCTTCACCACCCTCAATCTTCGGCCATCGCCCACTCCCGTCTCCGATCAACACCGTCGCCGCTCCCGTCTCTGACTAAACTTATTGCATTTGGTTGTTTTATGTATCTTGTTGACATTTACTATGACACTATTTTAGTATTTATTTTTTAAACTATGTTTACTATATAAATTTATGCACTATATATATAATTTTTATTTATTTATTAAGGTGCGCCTCGCTTCACTCGGGCGTCGCCTTTGTATCGCCTCTCGCCTCAAGGCAATCAAAGGGCTTGTCGCCTTGAGGTGCGCCTCGCGCCTCGAAAACACTGCCTAGAAGTAATATCCCAATTGACTAAGTGAGCCTCACACCCTCACACACCTCTCCCAAAGGAAATCTCTCATGCTTTCTCCAAGCTTTTACACTCACTAACATCATGACTCCAAAAATTCCAATTCCAAAAGTTAATACCTCGTACTATTGGCCTCCTAACAGTTGTCAATAATGTGGTCCTAACATTTTGGCCCTTCTTTTTCAAACCGCACAAAACATCCATCAAACAAATGAAGAATTCAATATGCAAAATAACATTTATAGGAGACCAATTTTTTAGATTCATGTTGAACAGTTCGATGAATCCATCACCAACCAAAATTCCAAATCGTGAAAGTCCACAGGTTATTGTTATCCACAGTTTCCATACAGTCAATTAAGACATACTTTAGCTCACCGAAGTAGCCAAACTGAAAAGTCATACCTTGTCTTTTACACTACCAAGCACAACACGGTAGGGTGCAAGTCCAGGACGTGGAGGGAGCCTGGGTTCTAAAAGCTTCTGAAAACTGGACCTCCCCATCTGAGATTCTGCAAACAGTTTCCTCTGAGCAAGGAGTTGACTAGAGTTGAAAGATGCAGAACGAGGTGCACTTGCAGTAGGTGAACCTCCATTCGATAAAGATGGACGTGTATCTGGATCAGAGGTCTCCTAGTGGAAGGCACAAGTAGTTAGAGAGAGAGAATGAAGTACCACTAGCGAGAAATATGAATAATCTAAAAGAATGTGCATTGGAGAAATAGGGAACAATAAATATAAAAAAGAGCGCTCTAGAAATTGCTTCACCTGATTATTTGATGATGTATGATCAGTCCTGGGAAATTCTACTCTAGAATATCTGGATTCACCATCATTGCAGTCTGTATGAAGGGCTTAATGAGATTAACAACCATCTATTTTGGCAAGAAGCACGAACAATAAGATTTAAGGATAATAAAAAGCACCAAGAGGCAAAAACAAGTCTTTCTATCTAATCAGAGTGCGAAATCATTTTCTTGTACCAACTGTAAAAATATTCATCTCAGCCAAACTCGCATATAAAATATTTTAATAAGCCACATGAAAGAAATGTTGCATTTGCAAGAAAATCTCAAATTTGTCCAAGTTTGAATTTATTCGAGTAGGTATTATCAAAATGATAAATTTTCATGATGGGAGCTGAGAATATATCTCCAGATTATGCTACCATACCCGTGCATGAAGGTAGATCAGCCCTATGTGGAAGTTGTCTTGGAAGTGCAGCAGCTTGATGGCTCTGATTCTTCGATTCAATTTTGAGCGAAGATTGATTCCATGTATCACGTCGGTCTTCAGATACAGCTTCTGGATAAGCATTACCACAAACTTTAGATAACGATATATAGAGAATAGAATAGAAGTATGTAGAAATTCACACGTTTACAGAATAATAAAACACCGGTCTAGAAGCTGACAGTACGGGTACGTGATTGTAAAAATTTATGATGTCAAACCAGAGATGAAAAATAGTAATTCTTCAAAAATTTTGTTGTGCTGCTGTAGTCGAGAGTCAGATATAATATTCGGAAGTCAAGAAAACTAACAACATTCTTCATCCACTTATTCCTTCTCCTTTCTTTCCCGACAAGCAACCAAAAAATGCTTCCACTTATGTTCTGTAATGCACTAATCGTATACGCATGAAGTCATACTTAGGGAATTAAAACTTGAAAGCAAGGCCTTACTCTTTCATTCTCAATTCCAACTCAAATATTTCAAGGAAACGCTTACCTTTTCATTGGTACACTTAAGAGTTTTAAGTAATGACTATTAAAATGAATTTAACATCCAACCAGGTCTTTCTCAAGGACTGAATTATCACTCGCTACAACCATCTAACTTGGTTCTGCTGCTAATCAGCATTTTTGATCTGTGTGTACATGCGGATTTGTTGCTTATCTTTATCAGTATTCAATAAGTAGTTGACAGAAAAGAATTGATAAAAGTCCAACAATCAACTGTGTAGCCAAATGTCATAGTGGATTCTTAGCTTTAAAGAAACGACCTTTTTCGAGAATTTCATCTGCCAGTCTGTATAATCTATCACTGCATCGGTTCATGGAAAGTTCAAATTGCAAGCTATCAAGCTCTCGAATGTAGAGATCGATAGCCATCCACCTAGACAAAAGAGAGACATCTCTTGTGACCTGAAGAATATGAAAGGGAAAAAAAACACTTTATTTACCTTTTTTTGAGAAAGCAACCGAGGGTAAAATAAGTTCTAGCATGAAGCAGAACAGATGTGCAATCAGAAGACAGGAGACGTGTTTCATGGCTCTAATACCATGTCATAAAACGTAGTGGAAAGATTTTATGTATTTCTCATAAATAATAGTGTTTGGGGATTGAATAAAATAAAAAGTGTGTTTGCGATTGAGTTTCCAACGTAAAATGCTTAGTGCTACTCAAAATTTTTATGATGCTGAAGTACAGATCAGAAAGTGCTATTGACATTGCACTTAAAGTACCGAGGGGAAGCACTTGTGATCTTTCTTTAAATAAAAAAAATAGTAATCCATTTAAAAGCACTACTTCCAAACGTACTCTTTTTCATTATGACTCGGAACGCTATCTAAAACTATCTTTATATAGCAAGACTATTCTAGTAACAAGCCAATTAATGAACCCTCACAGAAAAGATAAACCAAGCTAACCCACTAAGAAAAGAAATGCAAATTACTTGAATATCCTTACAAAGCAAAGCAAACTTTTCACAAGAAAACCTATCCCGCACGAGAAATATAACAGGGAACAAAGTATTTCGCCGGCACAGAAAAATGGGACCTCTCTACAAAAATATAGAATGATATTATGTCTTTTCGTATCAGGAATAACGCATATTTATGTTCATGATAGATATAACCAGAATATTTTTCCTATTCATTCAAGTTATATGAATGCTATAATAGAAATGCAGACTTTATGTATTGAATTCTACCTGAATTTCAAGGAGCTCAGTAGAAACACTAACAAGAATCAATGAAAATGCAAATTGAGATATTGTTTGACGGAGCCTAGTATTTGGGCCTTCATCCGTGTTTCACATTTCCAAAAAAATTCTTAAAATAGTGAGTGGTAATGAGATTCATTTTTCCCCTGTATTTTTTCTACTTTCTTTACAAGGTTCCATGTTGTCCTGTGGGATGGCGCAATGGCAAGGAAAATAGACTTTGTGGTATCACCTACATAAGGTCATGTGTTACTCAGCCCATGCACGTTATAAAAATCTAGTCAATGTAAGTCACATGACATCGATTCCAAGAAATAAAGAAAAAGAAAACAAGGTTCCACATTCTTCCAATATTTTCGTGTTCTAATGTTCTAAATGAAGTTAAGGTACTTTGATTGAAGTTTGAACCATACAACTGCAAGATGTTTTCCAAAAGGTGCATAAAAATCAAATAGCATACATGAGTAAACATAATGCATTCAGACAATGAGATTTTCAAGTGACGAAATAATGCTTGCGTTAGATCTTACTGAAGCGAATGAGAAAAGAGGATGTTAGAAGTCTCACTTTTGCTGTGACATTTGGATTTCCATCCCTGTCGCCTCCCATCCAAGACCCAAATTTGATTGGTGTGCAAGTCAAAGGAAGTGACTTTCCAGTGTGCTATGAGAGGAGTGAAAACAGGAAACTTATTATAAGAGAGAAAATTCCAGAAAAAACAATGACACCACTGTGAAGCATTGAAGAGTAATCTGCAAAGAAACTCATGATAGACCTTCTTTAAAGCATTGCTGAGTCGACGTAAATAGTAAGGGACGGCTTTCCACAGGGACTGTTCCACAATGTTTAAACCTGAGAATGCAATTATAATTTCTAAAGTATGCAAGTGAAAAAAAACAAACAAACATAGCATTCAGCCGCCAGGTATCTTCTCCCAAATTAAATGTAATTATATACCAGCCCTAGCTTCATCAACTGGTGTGGGCTTGTGGCGTCTAAGTTCATCTGTCTGCCATATTGAAGTTATCTCTCTTACCTAAAACGCATAATAAACATAAATTAAAGTAGAAACAAAACGTACACAAGTTGTTTTTCAATCATACAAATGTCAGACCTAAAATTCCCTCCACAAATCGTTTATGTCATTGTAAAATGAGACGTAGAATGGGAAGTTGGAAGAGAAAATAAAATAATACCAGATCATCGATTAGCATTTCTCGATCTTCAGGACTAAGATCAGGTCGGTCATTATAGTCCAATAGACGCTGCAAGTATTATTAAATTAATCGCCAAAGATGACATGCAACTAGTAGTATGTTGCAGTTCATACAACTGAATTCACTAATAACATACAGCAATGCGGAGATGTTTGTACTGCAAAGTACGACGATTTATTTGAGTTGGATGTGCTGTAAGAACAATTTCAACCTCCTGCAGAGAGAAGAACAAAAATTTTAGAAGGGAATTTGACAAACTTACAGACAAATTACCTATTTTTTGAACAGTGAAAACTGCAAATCATAGAAAAATGGCGTTTTGTCCTGCCAACTTATTATTATTACGTCGGTGGTCAGACTATGCAAATTGTATACTCCATAAATTCTTCTTAGCAACCACTTCCAGCTAGTTCTAAATTACTCGGCCATCCAATTGAGAGCCGCTATAATTTTTGTCTCTCTACTTTCTCTGTGCGTAGAACCAAATACAACAGTGGGGGGAAAAGGAAATAAAATGACAGCAAATACCTGCTTGCAAACGCTGTCGTAAAGTTCTTCAGGAGAAACTCCACCCTGCACTAACTGATTAAAAACATCATCGCAAGATCTTGATAGAGATGCCATATTTCTCGACTTACGAACCCTGTCAATCGTGAAAAGCAACATTTCCAATAAGATGATCAAACGGTTTAATTCCAGACAGCTCCCAGTACAGTTAAATGAAATGCATATTTTGTGAGTGGAACAATAACATGATGCAACTCAATGTGTTTCACTCCACAACAGGAACAAAAAATAGCCAATATGAAACCGATAATTTCTTTTCGGTTCCATATAAATCTAGTTTTCAAATAAATGGACAAGGATTAAAGAACAGGTAGATTGAAAGTCAACCAACCTGTGGTGGGTTTCTGCAATCCCCATCAGGTTGAGAGAATGGCTGAATGCACGAGCTAGAGTGAGGGCTTCCTCTAAAGTCATTTTCGATATCTCCGACGCCAGCTGCTTCTCGAGCATGTCTGCCGTATCCTCGATGCCCGCCATCCTCATGTTGCAAGCGCTCTGTTATCGGAAAAAACAAAACGATAATAATACATCCGATTAAACATTCGCCCTTCTTTCTCATCGATGCAAACTCAGAAAACACGTTAAAATCTTTGCAATGGAAAACTCAGAAAACACATTAAATGGAGGCAGAAAAGCTGCAGCCTCCTCCATGATTGGAGTACTTCGAGCCATCATGCCATAAACAACTTATGCATGATTGAGATTCCCCGTCCGGAAAGCAAAAACGAAACGGAAAAAAACATCGAACATCAAGCATATTACGAATTAAGCCGTCCATTTCCCCCATACCGGTCTCGGTGAGGCATGCTCTCAGGAAAAAGAAACTATTCGGCAGTACATACATGACCAGAACAGAACCACAAAAACGGAAGAGGAAAAGCAAGAGCAAAATAAAAGCGAAAAAAGAAACAATAGAATGGGAAACAGAAACCTGAGCGAGGACTCGAGTTCGTTCAAGTTTTTCCATAGACTGGCTCCCAACTTCGCGCTGCAGGACATCAGCGAGAAGGTTGCCAAGCAATTTACAGTCATCGTCGAAGCTCTGGAAGGAGATTTCCTCGGCGATATCGTCAGTGGTATCCGTCATTTGTGGAATGCCAGAGAGAGTGAAGAGAAGAAGTAGAGAGAAGGGAGAGAGGAAGAGAGATGAAAGGATGAAAAGCCGAAGAGAGGGATCAGTTCTTACTTAATGTACGATTTTTTTTTATTTTTTTTGTTTTGGGTTTCGATCGTGGGGCCCAGAATGTGATACCTGGCA